AGGCTTCTTTCCTTCCTCGACAGCCAATCGATGCGCCGCCACATCTGGTGACACTCCCGGCATGTCCTGTGGGCTCCAAGCGAATAGCTCCCCAAATTCTCGCAACAATTCGATCAAGGGCGCCCTCATGTGTTCAGGAGCCTGTGCTGACACTCGTACCTGCCTGTCCGGGCGCCCTTCTTCGATCGGTACCCTGAACTCATCATCCATAGGCTCTGCTCTAGGCGCCTCCTCGGGCCGAATATCTATGTTGTTCACTCGGTGTCTCCGCGCGCCCTTTCTTCTTCCTTCCTCTTCTCGCGCATAGCGGGGGGCGCCTTCTCCCCGTGAAATCCCTATGCCTTGTGGGGCGACGAACTTCAATGTTTGGTGGCAAGTCGAGGCTACCCCATTGAATAACGCCAACAGTGGTCTTCCCAATATGACGTTGTATGGCGAGGGGCAATCCACTATCCCAAACTCCACGGCATGTGTCACTCGATGCACTTCGTCACCCAATGTTACCGGGAGGCGCACGCACCCGATCACATGGGCAGGCGCCCCCGAAAACCCTATTAGCACCGAATCGGAGGGGCTTACCAATTCCGGCGCCAGCTGCATGCGCTCGAAGGTGCTTTTGAACAAAACATCCATCGAGCTTCCCGTATCCACCAACATCCTCTTTACCTTACACCCTGCAATGATTCCCTGGATTTCCAAAGCTTCCTCTGAGGGCACTTGACATGCTTCATCCGCCTCTTGATTAAAGCATATTTGCACTGCCGCCTTCGCCTCCACAGATGCAGCCCGTAGGCGTCTAGACCTGTCCAACTTGTCCCGTAAATCGACGGTTCCGGTTATGGATTCCACCGTGAGCCTAACTCGGTTGGGTTCCCCTTCCTGATTCAGCTCAAATGGAGGTGGGGGTATTTCCAGTGGAGGAGGGAGGGCCTCAAGCGCAGGGAGATTACCAGGCGCCTGTTGCACGACGGGAAGAGTAGGCGCTTGAGGTTCAATCACCACAGCAGGCGCTGGCCTTGTCTCTCTTGTGACATACGCGCGGTGCGTCCTCTCTTCCGTCTTTCTTATGAAGTCGTTGAGCATTCCCCGGTCGGCTAACGTCTGCAACTCCGACTTCAGTTGGTAGCAATCGGCCGTATGATGCCCCTTATCCCGGTGGAAGTCACAATATCGATCTAGATTCCGCTCGTTTGGTTGCCCACGCATAGGTCCCGGCCAACGCACACGGTATCCCCTGTCCTTCACGTATTGCAGAATGTTTTTCAGAGAGTCGTTATATTCCGTGAAATTTCCCGCACTCCTGGGTGGTGGGCGTTGACTCTCCATCCTCCTTTGCGAAGCATTGTTCATAATGAATGGTCTAGGCGCCTGGCGCACCTCCACTTCTTCTCTACCAACACGCCTCTTCTCTGCCCTCCTCGCGGCCAATGTTTCCTCCAAGGCAATAACCTTTTGAACCCTTCGATCCAGATCCTCGGTTGACACTACAGCCCTCTTAGATAGCACCCGGCACAACTCGTCACTATTCGTACACTCCTCCAAACACACTCCCAGGACGGGCGGTTGCACGTCCTTCACGACCATGGCGACCGAAATCCAACGGTCATAGAACTCTCTAAGCGCTTCACCCTCTCTCTGCTTGATTTTAAACAAAGCGCCTATAGTCAACGTCCGTCGCTTACGGCTAGCAAACTTGGACAAGAATAGCTCTGCAAATTGCTCAAAGCACTCTATGCGCCCCTCCTCCAACTGATGATACCAATCTAAGACTACCCCTGCGAATGTCGAAGGGAACACCTTACACAATGTGGCATCCGTGCTATTGTACAATTGCATCTTCGTGAAATAGCTATTCAAATGATCTTCTGGGTCAGTGACTCCATCATAGCTGGTCAGCGGTGGGAGTGTAGTTCCCGCTGGTTCCATTAACACACTTTGCGCCAAGGGTTGTCTGATCCCAAAGCGCCTGGCCTGACGTTTGGGCGTCCAAGGGTTCTGTTCTTCCGGCGCCGGGATGGTCCACTCGCCCGGCGCCCTCCACATGCCCGGGCGCCTAGGTGGTGTTACCTCAGGATGGTGACCCTCATAGCCCGGGCGCCCATACTCGCTAACCTCCGAATCATCTATGAGCTTATCCCGCTTCCTCACTGGGGGGTTGTATTCCCTTGTATCAACGCTCCTTCCTCCCTCCAATTCCCTCCGAAGCATTGCTATCGCTCGATCTTGGTCAGCAATAATCTTGAACAGCTCCCTCTTTGACAACGAATCACTCTCCATGGATGGGCGCTCACGACTTTCGTCCTCCACGTCCATGCTCACTACTGGGCTTGACCGCCACTCACTCCCCTCCTGACTGGAATTCTCCGTCCCCGCATCCTCGGCGCCTACACTTCCCACGTTCAAGTCTTCCATCTGTCTTAACTTGCCGAACGCCCCCTATCTGGCGCGCCAATTGTTGAAGCCAAGATACTCTCTCTTCCACGTGTCTCCTCCAACTGCTCCACGCCGAGCGCTTGAACCCTGCAGGACGGGTGCCTAGAGGGCTAAACCCGTCCGTTAGCACTCCAACGATCAAGTCAGGTGCAACTCTAGAGAGAGAAGTGAAGAAAGAAGTTTAGTGTGAGAAAGACCGACCTGCTTAAATGCTACCTACCAAGTGCTATTTATACTACTCGGGCTCCTCGACCAAGCTCCGACCAACTCCTGCCACCAAGCCTTACGTCAGCCTAGCATTAAATGCCCGGTCGGCCCTGGCGCCTACACGTGGCACACCGTCCTTTTTCCACGTCGGGGCGCCTAGGGGGACCACTGGCCTCGTGGCGCTCTTCCGACCTTGCCCATCCGTACTTCTTTGTCTGCGAGCCTATTTTGTCGCCATGCGCCTCCTTTCCTCCATAGCTACCTAGGTTATGCCCTTATGGGCCATAAATGGGCTTGATATCCACTAGGCACCTGCCTTTCATGGGCTTGTTTCCATTACCCTAACCCTGGGTCATGCCCCAGATAGATCCTAAGAGGGCCCTCGGCCCAACGGGCTCTTTACTTTCGTAGGCTTATTCCTATTACCCCAACAGTAATATAATGTAATAACTGTTAAGCTGAAGTCCTGAATCCCGATGTTTAGTTTTTTGGGAACCGTACGGATTTCTACTTCCCAAAAATAAAAATATAACAACATCTTCCCCACTAATAGAATTTCGGTTTGGTAAATGGTCGGTGAACCGAACCGAAAAACCGCCCCACGTCGCCCTTTGCGGTAATTCGGTAAACCGGTTTGTAACCGTTTACCGGTAATTCGGTAATCGGTAAACTGGTTACAAACCGGTATCGGTAAACAGTTTGGCCAACGTCGGTATACCGAAACCGGTAAATTAGGTAAACGGCTTACCGTTTACCGACCGATTCCCACCCCTACCACAAGTATAGGACTCCAGCCAAGAGTGACAAATGAAAACCAAATATTGTAAAATTGTACCGAAAAAGATAGAGATAGACTATATTGTAATGAGATTGTAGTTTAATCATGTTTCGACATTTTCATACCACTATAAACCATCTAGGAATTTAATTTCGAATTGAGAGTTTTTCCAGTCAAACTATGGTATGCTATGATTTCACTTACACTAAAAATTGTAATTTCTTTGTGGGTGGGCTTTAAGTATCTGGGCTTCAAGACCCGAACAAGAGCTACCCAAGACCCCCTTTTAGTACAAGCAATATAGTCAAGATCGCGTTTTAATACTTAAAAACTTACGCTTTTATGTTTATGGGTCACCAAAACGCTTGCGCACAAAATCTTCGTTTTTATAGCTAATGTAGTTAAAAACGCGCTTTAAAACTTAAAAGCCTATGATTTTACGCTTCTAGATCAACAAACCGCTTCTACGTAGAAACGCGCTTTTTACTACATTGAGTACAAGCCTTCATTGAAGGGCCTTTCTTTCCCTCTAAAAAGTTTAAGTGCAAGGCAAGGAGAAATAATGATTCACAGTAAAAGCTGTCACATAATAACTAATGTTTTAGAAATCATATATTATTGGTCAGTCGAATTAGAAACATCGAAAAAGCTGAGCTCATATAAAACGTGGGTGTAACGATATAAAAACTATTGAACTTTTGTTCAAGCTATAAAATATCATCCTACTAACTTTTTTATGTAATTACTTTTGTTCAATACCGATTCAATCCCATATCCTTACTTTGAAGAGTACCCATGAAATCAAAACCGGATTAATTCTATTATATTGTGTTAACCGTTGTTGCCCACTGCTAACTAATCTAATGGTCCAGTTTCAGTGAAATAAATTCCGATGTAGCGAACCAGCCAGTACAGTGAAAACATTAAAATAATATTTTGTGTTACCAATAGTATTATATGAGATTAATAATTTGACCCAAGTTCTTAATCCTTTTTTTAATTTCCCCTCTAAAATTATCTTCAATCTTACTTTTTACAGTACAATAATCAGTAAGAAATTTTACATATTCCCCCTCTCGAAGCCCACAACACAGCACCCACCTAACCCAAAAAGAGATAAAAAGAAAAATCCACTAATTTCCCCCACTTCACAAACAAATTACAAACCATCGACCGATTCTCCAAACATTACAAACAAGTCCATTCCCTCCTTTTATTTCTTCCATTAGAGTAACTTACCTCTCATTAATTAATTAATTCCTTCCATTTCCATACACCTTCTTCCACTAATTACCAATAACACCACCGGTAATCCAACCACCCACCCACCAGTTCGCCCGTAATTTCATTATCTTAAACTCAACGCCCCCGAAAATAATCGATTAGCTCCACAAAATTTCCCAGAATTCCCGATCTGCCCCCCGCTTTTAGAAAAAATATTCACGAGGACTGTTTCCGGATCGGGAAACGCCGGAGAAATCTCAGGCGAGCTGCTCGGCCGATGACGCATACGAGAGCAGAATAATTTTTTAAGTTTATTTTGCGATTCTGAAACGAGATCTCCAAAAATCCTTTCGGAATCTCAAAGATCGAGCCGGAGCAAGCGTCGGAGGTCCCTGGTAGCCGAGTCGTCAACGGGAACCTGCTTCTTCTTCGAGAAAGACGGCAACGGGAGGGCGCTGGGAGCCGGAGACATCGCGAACGCCGATCCGGCGTACACGTCGCACTTCCTCGGCACCCCTGGCGCCGGCGGTGGCCTCGCGTCGGTGATTCTGATCTGCCTCGACACCGCCTCGGGATCCGGCCCAATCCTCTCGGTATCGTTCACCACCAACGACGAAGAACTCGTTTCTGCGCTTCTGGAATCAAGCGACTCACCACGCCTGAGAATCGTGACCTTATCCATCACCAGGCTGTGTCCGTGCTGGTGGTGGTGGTTATTGTTCTTCGAGGAGGAGATCCTCAAGTCATCGGCGGAGGTCGATCTCTTCGAGATGGACGGCTCCGGCTGATGACGCTTCCTGTGGTGGTCGGACGGCCTCTGCCCACCCGCTGCCGACTTCCTGTTAAACCTAGGGTTAGACGATGTACTGTTGCTAATGTTATTGCTAAAACAATTTCCATTTCCGTTGCCGTTGTTGGCGTGGCCGTGGTAGTGAAAATTTCTCCGGCGGCAAGGAGGGACTCTGATCCGCTGGGTGAGACAATCCTGTGGACTCAAGATCTCCGTTGCCATAGCTTAAATGGTAGGGATATAGGGATTTAGGCGTCGAGATCTTGTAAATTTGTTTTCTGTAATGTTTTTTTTTCCCCTGGTCTCTCTCTTCGCCTCTTTCTTCCGTCGATGGAAGGAAGAGGAAAAGATTGGGCGAAAAACGAATGGGAGCTTTCTATTTGTTATGTCTTTCTTCTCTCTGGTTAATAATGGCGGATTTTTGTAGAGAGAGAGAGAGAGAGAGAGAGAGAGAGAGGGGAAAGGGGGGAAAGAGGAAAATAATGAGGTTGCGGAGGAGAAGCCGAGAAGGAGAAGGAGAAGGAGAAGGAAGAGGGGATATATAGTAGGAAGATGGAAAATGAAAAGAAAAAAGAAAAATTATCTTTCTGTTTTATTATGGGGTTGGGTTCGGGTGAGAGCGTCCGCACCAAAATTCCTGTGGGCTATGGGTGGACAGTTTTGGGGCCTATGGGGTAGGATTAGGAAGAGGTGATGTGGAGAGCTGAGAAGGAACGGCGTTCTTGTTGTGGGAACGGCTTTAAAGTTGGGGGATAAGTGGTAGGGCCCACATGCGGGGTAGGTGGGACTGATAACGACGTGTCTTCTTCCTGGAAGTTGTCTACGTGGTGCGCATGTTAGGAGAGATGAACGAATAATTTGTTACGTTGTGGTGACAAATTTCAATTAATTAAGGGTGGTTTGGAAGTTATGATTCTAGATGAATGATTTTTTGAATTTATGTATTTTTGGAGAATCCATCATTTTTTTGTCCAAAACTTTATTCAATACATACATTTGAAGTGGGCCCTCGAATCTGATATCACTCACAATCACTCATTTTAAATCTCAACAAAAAGATGAGATTCTTCCTTTGAGATTATTGGCTTTAATTTGTTACATTTTAACTCATAAATGATTTTTTCTTTTCTTTAAAATTTTTGAATGGCTACAACCAAACAAGACATTCTTCCAATCATCTAATTCTTACAATCTTTGTATTTACAATAGATGTATTCATCAAATACACATATTTGAAGAATCTCAACTTCCAAACGACCCCTTAGTGACTACAACTTATAACAATGAATCCTTTTTTAACCGTAAGGTTTTAAAAAAAAAAGTAATGAGGAAAGAAGGAACGGTGGTGGAATTGCATTGGGAGACGACGGTGGGGAGTAGTAGGGCTGGAACAAGGTTGTTAAATCTCTATTAGACCTCCGGTTGGATCTGGTTCGATCTAAGTCATGTTTCAAAACGATCTTTAGAAAGTCCTCGGTCTGACCCTTAAAGAAGGAGAAGAAGAGAGAAATAGAAACGAAGGAAGAGAGATGGTGGGTAGGTTATGGAGCTTAGGTAGATTTATTTTGTGGAAAATAAGTTTTTAATTGATACATGTAAGATCAATTTCATTTCAGTCATTAAATCTTTAATTACTACCTTATTTGTATAGATATTTAGCAAACGTCTAAAACGTCTCAAACCAGCCAGACCCCGATCAAACTATTAAATCTCAAACTCCTTGTTTGACCGGCTCAATGACTTAAACCGGTTTGACAACCTTGGGCTGGAAGTTGGGTAAAGGTATTTGAGATCTATCGAATATCATATCGAATTTATCACTATTTGTTATTACCCAATACCGCCTTATTTTTTAGGGATTGAGATTGAGATTCATTTTGGAGTGCTATTCGGTATTAGCGATTACGAGATTGGGATCGATATATACCAAAATACCTAGAAATACCGAATTTTAAAATTAATGAAATATAGCACACAATCTTTAGTCATTCCTCACTCTTTCACAACTAAGAAGCCCCATCTAACTCAATTTCCAGTTTAAGTAACTCTCGTTTCTCACCTAATCTCTTGTTACTTTCATAACACTATATTAGTCGTCTCTCAGCCTCCAATTCGTCAAATTAAAATTACCAATGACAAAATTTTAAGATGTCACCTCTCCTCCATTCTCCGTATCCATATTCTAGCTCTAGGCAAACTAAAGATTCTTTGTTTAGCCTATTTGGTCTAAATTAAACAATCAAATATAATGTATATATTTATTTATTAATTACAAACTTAATTGATTTCATATTCGAGTACATCGATTGGGATACTGAAGAACTGATTAGGATACCAAAATATTTAGGGATTGGGATTGGGATACCAAAATTATTTAGGGAATGAGATTGGGCTTGACTTTAGGGTGTAATTTGGTATTCAGTATTTCAGTATTAGGTATTGGGATACCGATACCGTACCGATTTCCACCCCTAGAGAGTAGGGCTGGAAGTTTGGTACCGGTATTTGGGATATACATAATATATACCGAGTTTATCACTATTTGGTATTATCGAATATTGACTTATTTTTTTAGTGATTGATGAGATTGGGATTCATTTTGGAGTGCTACTCGGTATTCGGGATTACGGGATTGGGATTCGTATATACCGAAATATCGAGAAATGCCTAAAATTAAAAATTAATGAAATATAGCACACACGTCTTTTGGTATTGGGATACCGATACCGTATCGATTTCCACTCCTAGGGGGGAGAGGCCGAATGAATCAATCATCGACGACGATAGCATGGCCGCCTCTGATGATTAGAGAAGGAACGAGAGGACAGAACGCGCACTACGTCTTTTCGATCGACTTTCAGGTCTAAATAGCATATAATATATCATTAACTAACTACATAATCATAATTAAGTGATAAGTGAGAGACCCGATTAGCTAGGGCGAGGAAATATGCTCTCAACTGATCAGGCGATGAAAGACCCTACGGTGCCGGACCCCTCCCTGGTCGGACGACCGCCAGACCCCCTCTGTCTCTCAAAGAACCTCTCTCATCGATCACGTCTCCCCACGCCTCTCAGTTTCAAGAATGCTCTCACAGGCCAATCAACGGAGGCGACCAACAAGACGAACATCTTGACATTCGTGGGCGAACATGACATGGAAGTCGGAACCAAAGGAGGAGAGTTGTCACTTAAAATCTCAGAGAAGCTCAAGGAAAGACTCTGCCTCCCCTGGAAAAGAACTCTAGTTCTTCGCCTGCTCGGTCGCTCGGTCACCTATTCCTACATATGTTCTCAGCTACGATGGATGTGGAAACCAACAGGATCTCTGAATATCCTAGATCTGAAGAATGATACGTTCCTGGCCTCGTTTAGCAATGAACATGATTATCTCCGAGCCCTGACCGGTGGGCCTTGGATGATACTCGATCATTATCTCGTCATTCACCAATGGACACCGAGCTTTCGCACATGGCAGAGGCCACACAGATCGGTGGTGGCATGGATTCAACTCCCGGAGCTGCCAGTCCACTTCTATCATCGAGAGATCTTATTTTCTCTGGGGAACCTTATTGGCCGCACCGTGAAGCTCGATTACCACACATAACAACTCCAACAAGGAAAGTTCGCTCGTCTGGCAATTGAACTGGATATGACCAAACCTCTCCCGACACGAATCTTTTTTTATGACTACTGGCAAGCAGTGCTGTACGAAAATCTACCTCAAATATGTTTTGAGTGCGGTTGCATCGGGCATACAGACGACAAATGCCCTAAGACGATAGCCAGCGTAGTCACACCCACTATCGCCCTTACGATAACAGCCGTTTCTACCCCACCGGAAAGTCAGCAGCCGGAGCCACCAGCCGGCTATGGTCCGTGGATGCAGGTGGTACGCAAATCACGGAAACAAATTAGGAAGGCGGCCTCCACAGGTGAATTGAGTTAGGGAAATCGCAAATTGGGCAATCCAAAAAATGGCAAGAATCACTCCAAATCTGCCAGGAAAGGAAATGCTGAGTTGGGTAGCATAACGGTTACCGTGGAAGGAAAAGAAAGGGGTGGTCGTATCCGAGAAGGAAAGAAGGGGGTCTCTGCCTCACAAAAGGGAAAAGCTTTGATAGTGGCGGAATCTCAGGGTAAAGCGCTTAAAAAGGGCTCAGTCACTCGAGAATGGAGACCAATTGGACTCCTGGAAGCTTCCACTTCGGACCAGGCCCAATCAAATCTTCATATCTCAGATACCAAAAGCCCAATAGCAACGAAGCACAAGGCCCAGGAGACCCAAAAATCGTCGGCCCAAACAACACCTGGATTCAGATAGTGGCGGTTACTCCCCTAGAATAACTGGGGAAGGAAAATAGAGATCCCAACAGGGATAACCATTATATTCGACAAAACTACCGGAAGAAAACCAAGGCGAGCTCACCATTGCTAGAAAAGAAGAAGGGCACAAATCTGAGCTCGGTCAAAAAGCTGATGCAGCTCAGCATCGCCTCCAAACGCGATCGGAAACAGAAAAAGCTGGAGCATAATTTGAATTTCCCCGTTACCATCCAAGCAATTGGAGAGCTTCTATCTCAACCCCAGAAGAAATCCGTCGGAACCCCAGGCAACAACAATGGCCCCCCTTTGGACGAGATGGAGATGGAAAAGCAAGGGAACTTAGAGGCGATTGAGATTTCCAAAAACTCCGACCTGATCCCGCTCACAACTTCATGATGATGCTTTTGTTCCTTTTCTTTTTTCTCGATTTCTTTTTCCTTATCCATCGCCCCATGCCTATGTCTACTAATCTTAAAATCTTATGGAGACCGGGCCACCTCGGTTTGCAGCAATCTAGGCTTCTCCTAAAGACCCATTCTCCAGACTTCCTCATCCTTATCGAGCCTCAAATCCATGGAGACCGGGCCACCTCGGTTTGCAGCATTCTAGGCTTTGACGAAGTGATTAGGGTGGATGCGGTTAGTTGTAGCGGTGGTATCTGGATAGCATGGAATTCAGAAATCTTCCAAGCTCATCTCGTCGATGCCAGCCCACAACACCTCACAATTAGAGTCTCTCAGGCAGATCTTTCAGATTGGCTTCTGACGGGAGTTTATGGCAACCCGAAGTACAAGTTCCATAGATTTTTGTGGAGACACCTGATCGATACTAGTCACATCTCTGAGCTCCCCTGGCTCATCACTGGTGACTTCAATGCCTATGCAACGCCAGATGAA